TTTCAAAATGTATTTTTGAAAATAAACCTTTAGGAACCGGTTCCTCCCTAACAGGGAACCGGGTTCCAGAATTTCTCAAAAAACATGCCCCTGGATTTTGTACCAGGAACCGGGTTGTACCAATAGGGGAACAGGTTCCTGCGTGATAAATTTGAATTTCAACTTATAACATTCACTAAGAACCGGGTTCTGTCAGTGTCGGAACCGGTTCCTAGCGAACCAATGCAGCTTTTACTTTGTTTTTTGAACATTTTTCAAGTGGTATCTTTTCATGAATGCATTGCAACTTCTCATATGAATTGGCATGAATGAAGAGGTTCTTACAACTTTATAAAATGCAGATTTTCTTATTTTCAAACAATGTTCAATACTTCAATTTTAAAATTAACAAATATCCTTCTTCATTAACAATTTTCTCATTTACTCACATTTGAAATTATACTTTCATGTGTTCATAATTTTGTGAAACTTTCCATATACACTTTCATTATCATTTCAAGTTTCATTCATACATTGTGAACATTTATATACATTGTTGAGAATTGTTTTTATCTTGAAGAAGAAGATCAATTGAAGATTGATAAAGCTCTCCATATACTTCAAAATTAATCATTGTATTACTTAAAGATTTTCCCTTACTATCCAGGATTGTTGGAAGTAAGTGTTGTGATTTGAAGAGGATTGTTCTTCATTCACATTAGTGTTTGTTTGGTCTTAAAGGTGTTAAGAACCTTTGATCACCCTATAGGTTAGAGAGTAAGCATAGGCTGTATAATCATTCTAACTATAGTGAAATCTCTTTCATGTTGGAAAGGGGAATGGAGTACTCTCGGATTGTGAGGGGAACCAGGATATATCACCGTGTTCTTTACTTTTCCGCATTTATCGCTTTCATCACCATAATCAGGAAAAGATAAAGATATAAACAAAACCTTCAAACACTTAACCAAAAATTAGTACCAACCATTCTCATAAAATCGAATAAATTTTATAAGACTTAATTCACCCCCTCTTAGGCACTCTGAGACTTACAGGTTCACCAAGAAAATCAAAATTCAAGATTACTTTGGAAAAGTCAAAGTTCTAACACTTAGAAGTTTTTGTAAGAGTTAAGAAAAGATGATAAGTTCAGAACTTTTGGCCAGATTTTAATCATGATGCAATTTAATTCAGGAAGAACTTCTGATACAAGAGTTGTAGATCTCAATGAGATCTAAAACATTGCAGAACAGAACTTCTCATAGAAATGCTAATATTTCAAGTTATAAATCCTTGAAGACACGTTCGTGAAACTAAAACACTTAGTAAATTCTGAGCATTTCCAAATCAGAATTTGGTTAGAACTTCTGGGCCAATTTTCACGTAGATACAATCAGAGTTTGCAAAGATAATTCAAAGACGGTTTGCAAAGCATGTTACAAGCTTTTTGAAATGTCTGAGAACTCCTTCAAATCATGATGGGTCATGGAGATTCAAAAGATCAAAAGTTGGATATTTGTTCTTAATCCAAGTTACGTATATGCTGAACTTCTGATCCAGATTCAAGCTTGCTTCACAATCTCATGTTGTAGGCTTTCTGGCTTATTAAATCTCATCATCATTTAATGCTCACACCAACTTTTGAGTCTTTATCTAAAGGATCTTCCCACGTATGGCATAAAAGTACCATTGATGTCCTTGAAATGCAAACTTTTGTACAAAGTTTCTTTTGAGCCCATGCTTCACTTTGCTTTTGAGTGCACTTCCTCCATAAATCATGACTACAAGCTCAGATTAGGTGTTCTTAAAGGTGCTAACCACCCTACCTTTCCTTGAAACACGCTTGTCTAAACTTGCTTCAAAAACAAGTCAATGATCTATAACACATGATGGTTGTACTCTTGATTTCTCCAAGCTTCTAAATCCTTTGCCTATAAATTCAACTTCATTTGCAAACATCAAGGGGAGAGACATTAGAAAAAAGCCTTGAAACCTTGTTGAAAATTCCAAGAACCTGAAACTGCATCCCAAACACAAAACCTGCTAATTTATGGTTTTTGCATCCAAACTCTAACTTTCCTTGTGCATTTCTTGGCCAAATCACCCACACAGTTTCTGATATACACTTAGAAGTCGTCCCAACTTCTGCTTTTAGACTGTAACACAATTTTCACCAGTCTCTATTTCAAAAATCAGAACTTGGCATCTTGGCTACTCCAGAACTTTCCAACCATTCTTAGCTCAAGTTAAGGGTTGCTTTAGCTTTCTGGGAACCTAAAGAAGCTAACCAGAACATCACAGCAGTCTGAACCAGGCTTTAACTCACAGAGCAATCTCCAGCAACAAGATAAGTTTCTTCTAACTTTCATGTCATTACTTAGGCATTGTTAGGCTTGCATTTTCAAAGATACAATGTAGACATCATGACTTTGATTTTGTACATATTCATAGATTTCACGCATTTTGCCTAAGTAGAGAGAATTCAGATCAGAACTTCTTGAGGAAATTAGGATTCAGAATTAGGATTAGAAAAAATCATGCTTTCTTCTGATTTACAATTTTGATGCTTTGTATTTCTGAAAACCTGATGAAATTTGCCATAACTACTATGTTTGCATTTTCCATTTTTATTGAGAAATGACTAAGTTGCAGATGCTATGGTTGGCGTGAAGGAAAATATGAAGTTCATCATCAGAACATACTTGGTGATACATGTTTATGTTTTTGCCTCTAATACCGGATGTACAGCCACCCCAGTGGTAGAGAATACGCACATAAGATATTAGTGTTAAGGGTCCTGAGTTCTAGCCCCAGAAACACCTTTTTATGTTTATTCCTTGACATCCCCCCCCCCCCCATTATTTGTCAAATAGTGCTCCTGGACCAGAACTTCTAGATATTCCCATCCAACAGCATTGACACAACACAGACCCATTATCAAAACTTCTAACCTTCCACTAACACTAGAACTTCTAGGTTCCCAATTGCATCAAAACTTCTAGACTCTCTCAGAAATCAAAACTTCTGAGCTTTCTTTTATTCCCAGCAACCCCGAAACTTTAGTGCCTCCGGATCCAGAACTTATGGCCTTCCTTATTTCTGCTAACGTTTGCTTTCTGATTTGAAGCGCGCCTGAGTCAGAACTTCTGATCTCTCTTCTTTCAGAAACGTGTTGATTCTGACTCTTACTCTCTTATTATTTTTATCATCACTTTATTTTTGTTAATCAAAAACACCAAAAATACTTTATGTTCACATGCTTTATTTTATCTCTTTTAAAACAAAAAGACAAAAAATATTTTCTTAAGCAAATTTATTTCTTCTCTTAACAAAAACAAAACAGGTATATTTTACATTTATTATACATTATTTCAATATGGTTGTAATAGATAATTAGGACTTTAATTTCTTGCAATCCCTATTTGTAAATTTGTATACCCCCATCCCCAAGTGTTTGTAATAGCGTAGAATATTTACTTTCAGTAATTTATCGCTTTCATATAAATGATAGTAATTACGGTTTGTATGGGAAGATAAAAACAACAAGTAGACAACCCTTAATCAAAGACTAAATGCATGCAAATCAAACACATTATTCACACATGCACCCCTAGGGTTAACTCCACTTTTTGCCTTATAAAAATGGTCATGTTACGCCTGTGAGACTGTAATACGGTGGGAGAACTGACTTGGGATGTTTTGAGTTTTATCACAATTGTTTCGGTTTATCAAGAGTCGCCACCGACTTCTCTTTTATCCAAAAGGAAAGGTTAAAAAGAACAAGAAAGACCTTTCGAGATTATTTCTTGAGTTCCTGGGGCAGGTTATGAAAAGGGAAGGTGTTAGCACCCTTTTCATCTATAGTTATCTACGGGCTCTTAGTTGCTTGCTAGATCACTTGCTTTTTGTTTGAAAATGTGCTTGTGGTGTGGGTTTTGAAATTATTTTAAAAAGGAATGTCTTTGTAATGGTTCTCGTCTCTATAAGAACGTGTACAAAGTGTTTTATCTTTTGAAAAATGTTTCAAAGTGAAGCGTTGGTGTATAAAATATTTTGTTGTGAGCAAGCGAGCAATTAAGGGCAACCTACCTACTCAAAAGGTCTTAAACGTTATTTTCCTCCTCCTTTAGACGTTGTTATCTTACCATTGTTTTGGTAAGAAACCCCATTATTGTATGTGAAGGGAAGGGCACGGGACATTTGTATAGTCATATAAGGCAACTTATGGGATGTTTTAGCAATGTCATTTAGGGACTAGATCGTTTACCAAAGGCTACATTGAGGGTCATCAAGGGACTACGATCTTTTATCGAGGGTCTTTTCTAAAATGCCCATATTCGAGGGACATGGCTAATTTCCGGAAGGCAACCAACACTACAACATTTAGGCTCTCCAGCAACAATTGAAAAATTGCCAGAACTCTGAAAATCGTTGCCTAAAACAATAGGGGACGTTTTCTAGGCGTCTCCTGTGCGAGCGTTGCCTATTGTTTGAGGCGACGTTTTTTTATGTTTTTTGGGAACGCTTTTGAAAAACGTCGCCTATAGTAAAGGAATAGGGGACGATTATTTACGGCCTCTGAGACAACGTTTTTTAAGCGTTGCGTTGCCAAATTCGGCTACAATTAACAATCGTTGCCTTAAACCTGAATCAGGAAGATCGTTTTTGAAGTGTAGCCATAGCTTATAGGTTGTTGTTTTATAGTGTCCACATAAAATATACAATTTTGCAATTATTATCAAAATAATATAGTCAATAATAATTGGCTTCAAAAATAATATTGATTATATAACTTAAACCATACATCCATAAAAGTTGTAATATAATAAAATCGAGTTCAAACTTTAATTCAAGATATAGTATATAGAGTACACAAAATGCCTAACGTAACAATATTACTTTTAATACTTTGAAGTATGACCCTAGTAAAATAACTAAAAACATAGTTCAGCAAAAGAACAAAAATCATATTTCAAGTTTAATGCTTTCAACTACAAGCCAAAAAAAAGACATCATCCAACTCATTCAAGTTTGTCTTCTAGGAGTAAAGCATCCAGATCGTCCTCTTGAAATTCGTTAGATATGTCATCATCCATAAATTCTTCATCTACGTCGTCCTCTTCAAATTCACCATCTATATCCTCCTCTTGAAATTCATCATCTAGATCTATGTCGTCCTCTTGAATTTTATCATTTAGGTCGTCCTCTTGAATTTTATCATTTATGTCGTCCTCTTGAATTTCATCATTTATATCGTCCTTTTCAACATCTTCATTGATACATTGCTGCATAAGAAAATAAAATAAAACACATTAACCATAAGTATTTTTGGTCCAAAGGACGATTAAGACATCAACAAGAATTAAACCTCGCACAAATAAAAACTAAACCAATGAGCAAAACACATTGTTTATATTCTTCACATCTCATGGATGTGAATTAATTATGAAGGTTTTTAATGGATGTGAATTTTCGTTCTAAACTGTAATAGGTGACATGAGCTTACTAGCAAATAGATCAATTATGAAAACCATTCTGTTTTTGGCTCACTATTCAGGACTTACAATAGCCTTTAACTGTATGTATGTATGTATGTATAACTTGTGCTATCCTTTTATGTTTATTTTTTGGAGTAAATGAACTCTGATGAACACTCTTACTTGTTGTATCTTCTTTGGTGTTCAGTATCATATGGATAAATTTACAGCATACATAGTGAGTGTTATCAAACAAGGGGGTCCCATAATCTTATCCAAGGCAAGTATGTTTGTGAAATATCAATGAAAGCTCACACAAATAAAACAGTTTCAGCCACTTCTAGGTGTTGTCACTACTTAAACAATTTCAACCACTTACTTTATTCTAGGTGTTGTCACTACTTGCAAATTTTTGCATACATTAACAACCATTTTGATACTATAACATAATTAGAAAAATATAAATCAATAATATTGGTATATATGGTTACCTTTCCATGACATGGAGCATGAGTTGATGTAGATGAATGCATTTGCGGTCTTATATCCTTTGGGGAACTATTAGCATCTCCATGAGATAATCCTAACAAATCTTCAATTGACTCTATATTAATTTGAGGATTGCATTGTTGTATTACGGTCTTAAAATCATTTTGCAATCTATCAATCTTATCTTGAAACTCGTCCCTTAATGTAGAGACCTCTTCACTGTGGGCTTGTTTCAAAGCATTAATTTCTGCCTTTCTCTTTAAGGAAGTTTTAGTTATGTTTCTCCCATAACAGCGTACCCTGCCTGGACACTCCTTTCCAAAAAAAACTTTAAAAGCTTTTGTATCACTTTCCTCCTTTTCAACCATTTCTTGAAGTTGGGACTAGCATAAATTACAAAAAAAAAATATTAGCTACTATTATAGACAATGTTGGCCGATTATATTAAGCAAACATATTATATAAACAATGTTACATACAATTACTTTTCCAGTTTCTACATCCAGTTCCTTTCCTTTATTTCCTTTTCGAGTTTCAACAAACATTTCTGATTGAGTGGGCTCTCTTTTTTCCTTTTCACGCTGCACAAATCAAAATAATTCCATAACAAATTATGTGAATTAAAATTCCTATTCACGAGTCAAAGAAAAGTTTTTCACGAATACTTTAATTGAACAAAGAAACATTCATACAAGGAATAATTTATTGAGAACAAAAGAAAGTTACCACTTTTTCACGAGTCAAAGCATAGTTTTTGGGACCCATTCGATGCATCCACTTTAGTTGAGCTCTATTTCTAGTGTTATTTTCACTGATTGCCTACATTTAAATTTGACAGAATTATTATAATAAATATTACTTAATTATGGCATACATAGAAAGGTGTAAATTCACACGCATACATAAAAAAATTATTAATCTTACTTGTATAGTTTCCTTACTCCAATAAGCACAAAGACTCTTAAACTGGGCTATTGGCACGTTTGGCGGATGATTTTTGAGTCTCTCGGTCATGTTGGAATACTTCAAAAAATGATTCTTCTTAATTTTGTGCTTATATCTTCTCCATGCCTCTCTAACAGTGGTCTCAATCCAATCTCGTGCTTCATAAATTATAAGATAAGACAAGATCAAGAAATGAAACACTTTTTTTTAATAATTAGAATAAATTGGTGAACTTTTAATCTAAACATGCACAACGTCAAAGTCCAATATCATTATCAGTTGCCTTCATGGATATTTTTTTATGAATTATCACATTCATACCAAATGTCCAATATCAGTATACTCGTTGGGTGAAAACTAGCATCATGTAATAGTTACACTCAAAATCATGCCTACACCACAGCCCAAGAAACAAGTTTGCATCCTATACTATAGTTTTTGGTCTCTTAACCTTAACTAAAATTTATAATGTTATGGTCTGCATATTCTATTGGTTTGACCATAAGTTATCTATCTGGATAGGTTTTTGAGTCTCGACACCAATCTAGGTACATAAAAAAAGGGGGGGTTTAGCATTAGACAACTCCATCTGAACTTCTCAATCAGTCTTATGCAGCTGTCCTGTCCCTGTACCCAATACATACAACTCTTTTTCCTTCCTCTGAATAATCTATAGTTGATCAATATATTCGGCCGAAAAGAGGATTGCCAACCAACTTTAAAATCAAACAATGAAACCCTAAGAGCAGTGCAAGACTCATACTTGCTTGCTACCAAACTCAAAAAATCTGAAATAATGGCATACATTGAAGTTTCCTAAAGAAGCATATGACAATGAACAGAATACATAGTATGAAATCAGAGACATGGTGCCTACTTGATCTTCCAAAATGGAGTTAAAATGGTTGTCAGTATAAAATCTTTTTTCATGACCATTCCAAGTAAAATAGACTGAAACAAATATCTCTCTATGACATCAATAAATTAAACAAAGAACCTCACTTGCAATCACTAACTAGTCGATAAAGTAAAAGACAAGGACACTTTAATTGTATTATTTCCCTAAATAACAGTTTCAACTTTCCCATAAGAATAATAAATAACAGAGCCAAAATGCGTGCTCAAGTTCATTGGGATAGGAATCCAAACCTTCAAATGGATTTTTCCTTTTCCTAGCTCCTTGACCATCACCTGCCACAGAATTTCCTAACTCATCAAGATCTAACAGAGGAACAAAGTCACATTTGCCCTCTTGCTTGAACATTCCCAAAATCAACTTCTCATCAGCAGTTGCAGACTCTCTCTCTTCTTCAGTTAGTTTGACGCTTCCATCTTGCTCACTGGCCAGTGATTGAAAAGGCGTCAATTTCCCCTATTCAAAAACAAATTAGAAAATTTCATCCAAGAAAAGAAACACGTGCTTTCGAAACGAACAACAAATAAATGAAACAAATCAACACACTTCAACATATCCCATATATATTAAATCATCCCGAAACCCTAAGAGTAATTTTGGATCCAGAATTTTACCAGAACGGTTTGAGGGACTGTTGAAGAGTTATGCAGTTTGCGATCGAGGAAGTGAGTAAGCGATAAACGAGTGGAGTCGCTGTTACGCGAAGCTTGATTTCTCGAACTTGCTTCGGAATCATGAGAGCTGGATTCAGCGAGAGTGAGAATGTTGTGAGAAAAGTGATGCAATTATTGAAGTTGAGGAATGGAATGGGATAGAGATGACTTACGGATTTGGCGGGAGAGAGCGGAATGTTGAGGTGATGGATCATTGTCCGAAAACCCTAATCAGTGTGGGTTTTTTAGGTTTTGACTTTGAGTTCACCAATTTCATGTAACAATCTAAAAATGTCCCCAAAAATATTTTAGGGGACAATTGTCAAACATTGCTAAAGAAATAATATTTTAACGCTCTAAAATCGTCCCCAAAAGCAGTTAAGGGCACACTTATCAACCGTTGGCAAAAAAATAAAAGAGTATCGCTCCATAAACTTCCCCAAAAGTATTTTAGGCGACGATTATCAAGGGTTGCAAACATGTTTTTGACAACAATCGTAAATCGTTGCCTATATGAATTTAAGGCAACAATTTCTACATGTTACCTAAAAAAGTGTTGCCAGAGACAACAAATGCTATAGTGCAAGCGGGATTACCCTAAGGGTGCTAGTGTGAAAGTGTGTTTGATTTACATGCATTTAATTTTGATTAGGGTTATCTATTTGTTGATTTCATGTCTTTCCATACACACCCTAATTACTAACAATATATGAAAGCAATAAAAGTGCAAAAAAGTAAAGTTCTATGATGTTACATCATTAAGGGGATGGAGTGTACAAATTTACAAATGGGGATTGCAAGAAATTAAAGTCCTAACTATCTATTACAACCATATTGAAATAATGTACAAGAAATCTAAAATTGACTTGTTTTGTTTTTGTTAAGAAAAGAAGTAAGTTTTCTTAAGGAAATATTTTTGATCTTTTGGTTTTAAAAGAGATAAAACAAAGTATGTGATTATAAAAATAAATATTTTTGATGTTTTGACTATTAAAGATAAAATAAAATAATAACAGAAAAAGGGGTCAGAATCAGCGTGTGGCTGAAAGGGTCAGAAATAAGAGGCAAAAACTCTGACTCTGATGCGCTACAAAAATCAGAAATAACAAGTTAGTAGACATGGGGAAGGTCAGAAGTTTTGGTTCTGGGTACACTGAAGTTCGGAGATTGCTGGGAATAAAAGAAAGCCTAGAAGTTCTGATTACTGAAGGAGTTTAGAAGCTCTAGTGCAGTTGGGAATCTAGAAGTTCTAATATCACTGGCAGGTCAGAAGTTCTGGTTGTTTGAGAGAGTGAGGTGATAATGTTGTTGGGTGAGGATATCTAAAAGTTCTGATATAGGAATATTTTCTTACAGATAAACAGGTAAAAATGTCAATAAATGAACCTAAAAAGATGCTTCTAGGGCTAGAACCCAGGACCCTTAGTACTAATGTCTTATGCGCACACTTTCTACCACTGGGGTGGCTGTACATCCGGTATTGGAAGCAAAATCATAAACATGTATCACAAAGTAAACTCTAATGATGAACTCCATCTCTTTCTCCATGCTAATCAAAACATTTGCAACTTAGTCATTTCTTAACATAACAGAAAACACAAACATGGCAATTATGGCAGGTTTCAATCATGGTTTCAGAAACATAAAAAAATATCAAGACTATAAATCAGAAACAAGCATGTATCTGTTAATCCTAATTTCCTTAAGAAGTTCTGAACTGATATTCTCACTACTTAGGCAGAAAATACATGAAACCTCAGAATATGTACATCATCAGAATCATGATGTCTACATTGTATTAGGACATGCAAGTTTAACAATGCCTAAGTGATATGATGAGAATCAGCAGAAGCTTACCTTGCAGCTGGAAAAGGTCCTGTGAACTAGGGCCTAGTTTTGACTGCTTGTAATATTCTGATCAGCTTCCTCACGTGCTCACTAGGCTGGAACAACCTTTAACTTGGGCTATGAATGGCTGGAAAATTCTGGAATAGCCAAGAAGCAAAATTCTGACTTTTTGAGGTGGAGACTGATGGAGAACGTGATACAGTCTGAAAACAGAAGTAAGACAATTTCTAAATGTATATCAGAAGCTGTATGGATAATTCGGTCAAGAAACACTTGAGGGAAATTGGAGTTTGAATGCAAGAATCAAAAACTAGTAGGTTTTATATTTGTGTTTGCAGTTTCGGATTCCTAGAGTTTTTAGCAAGGTTTCAAAGCTTTTTCTTTTCAATCTTTCGACCCCCTTTCAGTTGCTAATGAAGTTCAATTTATAGGCAAGAATTTTGTAGCTTGGAGAAGTCAAGAGTACAACCATCATGCTAGAGCGCTGACTTGTTCTTGAAGCAAGTTAAACAAGTATGGTGGTTAGCAGCTTTTAGGCGTGTCTAAGCTGGATTTGTAAGCAAGAATTAAGGAAAAGTACCCTCAGAAGCAAAAGCAAAGCATGGGCCCAGCATACTCTTGTACAAAAGTTTACTTTTTCAAGGACAGCAATGTAATTCTATACCACACGTGGGGAAATCCTTTGGATAAAAACTCAAAAGTGGTTGTGAGCATTAAATGATTATGAGATTTATCAAACCAGAAATCCGACAATATGAGATTATGCATCATAGCTTAATTCTAGGTCAGAAGTTCAGCATCAACGCAACTTAGAACAAACATCCAACTTCTGATCTTGAATCTCTTTGCTCCAGCATGTTCTGAGTGAGTTCTTAGACTTTCCAGAAAGCTTATAACACGCTTTGTAAACCCTCTTTGAATTACTCTTGCAAATTATAACTAAACCTACGTGAAAGCTGGCCCCGAAATTGTAACCAAATTCTGATTTGAAAATGCTCAGAATTTACTAAGTGTTTAAGTTTAAGGGACGTGTCTTTCAAGACGTATAACTTGAAATCCCAACATTTCTAGAAGAAGTTTTGTTCTACAATGTTTTAGATCTGATTGTGATATACAACTATTGTGTTAGAAGTTCTTCCATAATCAACATGCATCATGGTGATAATTTGGCCAGAAGTTCTGAATTTATCATATTTCTTAAACACTTAGAAAAATTTCTAAGTATTTAGAATTTTGACTTTTTCAACATAATCTTGACTTTTTATTTTCTTGATGAAACAAACTTCATGCTTTGATGAAATATGATTCTTGAAACTTGATTTTGATCCAAAAGTCAAAGTTTGACTTTTCAGTGTGCAATTGACCATTTTTCCCTTTGAATGACTTTCTTGGAAAATTGTCATCCAAGACTTGAAACTTGATAGAAGCAAGCCTGAGAGTCCAAGATGATCCTTTGAGAAATGAGAGGGAAAATTTTGGTGTACAACAAAGACTTCTTAGCAAAAACAATTAAAATACAAGATCATAGTCCCTCGATGACGCTTTGAATGTTGCCTTTCAAAAGATCTTAGTCCCTCAAGAGAAATGCTAAGATATCTCACAACGTTGCTATCATGACTATACAATGATCCACGCCCGTCCCTTCACATCCAATGATGGGGCTTCTTACCAAATAAATGGTAAGATAGCAACATATAAAGGATGAGGAAAATAACACTAAAGACTTTTAAGTAGGTAGGTTGCTCTTAGGTACTCGCTTGCTCACAACAAAAACATTTTATACACCAACACTTTCATTTTGAAACATTTTCAAAAGAAAAACGCTTTGTATGTGTTCTTATAGAGACGAGAACCAATACAAAGACACCCTTTTCAAAATCATTTTCAAAAATGCATTACACAAACACTTCTTTGAACTAGTTTCCAAACAACACTTTGTATGCGTTCTTATAGAGACGAGAACCATTACAAAGGCACGTTTTTAAAATACTTTCAAAACCCACTACAAAACACACTTTCAAACAAAAGCAAGTGATCTAGGAAGCAACTAAGAGCCCGTAGATAACTACGGATGAAAAGGGTTCTAACACCTTCCCTTTTCATAACCTACCCCCTGAACTCAAGAAATAAATCTCGAAAGGTCTTTCCTGTTCTTTTCACCCTTTCCTTTATTTGGATAAAAGAATAGTCGATGGCGACTCTTGCTATCTACAATAATTGCGATCAAATGCAAAACATCCCAAGTCGGTTCTCTCACCGTGTTACAGAACTGGCGACTCTGCTGGGGAATTAATTAAAAGTGGGTTTACCTTATGGTTAGATCACCTTTATTTGCTTTCTTTGTTTGACTTTCATGCTTTACATTGGTTCCTTGTTTGGGTTTGTTTTGATCCTCTACCCGGATCAGGGGCACCTTTTAGGTAAGTAGCAATAGATTATGGAAACTGTGCAGGGTATACCGACATGGTCTAAGCAATAGCTACGTTAGTGTGACACATTTGTTGGTACTGGTAGCCCTTGAGTAGTCAAGGAGAATACGGGGCCGATGTGTGGTGTCATGAAGCACTAACTGACCTTAGAACCTTAATTGAACAACTTGGCCATTAGGAAGTAGTGAGATAGCCGGCTTTGGTGCAGTTCGAAGTCGGTTGATACTCGATACTATGCTCATTGAGATTGGTCTTTCGGGATATTTCGGTGTCTATTAAAGAGGCTTGCACTGAAACAATGCCCGATGAAGAAATAGCAGTGATATTGTGATCCCCTAGAACCCAATTACTTTCTAGGAGAGGTTGAACCAACTATTCTTCAAGAGGGTGCTTACCTACAAACTCCATGCAAGCCTAAACCTAAGGACTTGTCTGCTTTGTGTGTATATGACTATCTGTACATAAAAACTTGCTTACTTTGCATAATTGTACATAATATCATACCATAGCATTTTCAAATAACCATTTCAAGGATCTCGAGGGTCTATGATGCAGGGTCATGTTGAACCAATCGCCTATCAAGGGGCAAAAGGATTTATTCTCTAATCAAAAGCCTTCAAAGACCAAAGCACGGTAACTTGAGTCAAGGGCTATGACCCACTTGACATGGTGAGCTTAATTCTCGTGGAAGGACATCCACCGATACGAAGTTCTCCAAACAAAGTTGTTGATCACAATTCAACTTCTAACATCTTCTTGTATTTACCCCGCGAGATCCTTGAAAACATGCATCCACATACCATGCATCATATCATGACAGGTTTCTCCCAGACATATTCCCTTATCTTCCTACTGTTTATTTCAGTAAGGTGGATATGGAACAGGCAGTGAAGGACCTTCAAGCACAAAATGCTCAATTCTAACAAATGTTCCTGGCTCTGGCCAAAGGGCAGGAAGATCTGAAAACATTCTTCACCAAAGAGAGCAAGAAGAAGAAAAGGGTTGTCATCCTCAACGTGGGAAGAAGGTACAAGGGGCATGCCCAACTAGCTCAAAAAGAAGATGCTTCTTCTGAAGAAGAAGACAGAGAACAAGAAGAAGCTAGAAGCATTAGAGCTAACATAGCTACTGATGACAATGAATCTCCTGAGGAGCAATATCTACCGGCAGATGAACAATACAAACAACTTAAAGACAAACTAAA